ACATATAAACATACATACTGCTATTTGTATATGAAACTTTTGTGATTAAATTAAAAAGTAGTATAATTTCTGGTTTATAATACAAATATGGATTAAACTGAAAGCCTTTGGAATTTTGCTTATGATATTTTTTTAGAGATAATTTAAAATGTGTAGCTTTAAAGAAAAACTTTTATGGAATTATAGCGGGTGAGCAGCTGTTTCCACATTGTTAGGGCACAGAAGTTAGAGTTCCGATTGCCACGTTAATCAGAAAGAATTGAGACTACGAAACCCATTTCATTTAATCTCACTATTGAATAAACAGCTCTGTAGCGATGCCTATTTGTACCTGTTTCTCTAATAAAAATGCAACTGTAGCTCTCAACACAAATTAGTTTTAATTATTTAAATGATATGAATTTGTCAAACATAAATAATCTAACACCTGTTTTGCCTTTTCATTTTATGAAAAAAATGTTTCATGAAAACTAATAGAGGATGATAGTGGGGAATAAAAAAGGTAGGTCTATGTATTTATTACAATTCTACAAAAAAAATAAATGCAAGTGTGGGCTGATTGCTGTCTAGCAGGATGAAGAAGCAGTCTGTTTCATTGCTATGCAAGGACACAACAGAAATCAGCAAAACAGAAGGATGTCTCACATACACTGGGTCAGTGCAACTCATTGTCCTGTGCTCATCTCTGAGAATTGGTGACAGTGATTTACAGTACGGCAGTTCGTCTTCTGAGTACAATGGTAACACTGCAAAGCGATGAGGGGTGTCGCTTAATCAGGGCACCAAAAGCTGCCATGATAGTCACCAATATATGTGAAACAAACTTCTTAGGCAAAGGAAAAGACAAATCTGAGGTGTGCTGCTTTGTATTTGTTTTAGTAACTTCATTTCAGGAGATCTGCCTGGCCATACACGAAGAATACCCTCGGTATCAGAAGGGTATAATGTGGTATAAAAAATAATTGGCAGGTAACTCTGGAAAGAGAGGTCTGTTTGTTTTCTCCACAGAATAGTATATTTGTTGTTTCATGCTACGTTTTGTTTTAAAAGGTTTGCTATTTAAAATTCTGAATATCTTGATACTGCCCTGAGTTAATTTATCATTTGGTTGAGGAGGGAAATTAAACATGTAATGCAGTTGTGGTTGGTGATGGTGGCCTCATATGGCACTTTGAGCAATGATAATTTGTATGAATTTCTGTATATTAAACCATACTTTAATATTTATTCTGTTTGTGGTGTATTAACTGTTATCCTTTCTTGGTAAAGAAAATGTGCTAAGTAGATAGTTACTGTTCTAAATCAGCAAGGCAATTTTAGAGTCACACAAAGCTGTTGAAACCTACCACTCAGTAGTTTGTCTGCCAGATTAATCATCTTTATTGTCCCTTCTGGAGGTGTCTCTCCTCCTTCGTGCAAAATATTTCCAGCAGGCAGACTTATCGTGAGAACTTACGACACTCCAAGGATACGATTATGTGACCGTCACGGTTAATATTGTGCCCTACATATCAATAAATATAGCCCAGGGTTTCAGAGCTGTCTTTTTTTTAAAAAAAAATGCAAATTACAGAAATTGTTTTCTAAAGCATTTTATTGTATTTCAGAGTGCATTTTCTCTCAAAATATTCCTATGATTCTTTTGCATTAGCTCTACTCCCTTCTCAGTGCAGTTAATTTAAAACACTTGTGCTCAATTTTTTGCATATCAGCCTCTTGGTTTAGACCTTTTGTTTGCAACAATTATTGTTAAATGATCAGTAAATCTACTGCAGGAAAGGTACTGTGGGACTGCTGAATTTGTTTTGGTGTCATTGGGATTCAACTAAAAGTCAGTAGTTAGAATTAAATCACAATTCTTGTGTTGCAAATAACTACAGTATATGACTGCTCATGAAAAATCTAGATTTGGGTTAGTTCTTGTTATTTTTGTAAAAATTTTTAAAAATGTATTACTTGAAACTATGCACATATAAACTGCAATGTCATTTAAAAGAAAAAAATAAAAGCATAAGGAAAAGAGCAGGGTATTTTCAAAAGTCCCACTCTAAATTGGAGAACAACTTTGTGTTGTAGCACTTTTGATGTTGGAGAAAGGGCTAGTAACTGTTTTTAAGCCTCCAAAGCTATTTCTTTGTTGATCTGACTGTAGCTTTGAGAAGAAAAAAGTCTTTTATGAGAAAAATTTCTTTTGCATTTATGTATTAGAGTGGAACTGCTCTTAAAAAGAAATAGAACTATTTTACAACCTAGTTAGCTAGTTTGTAATCTAGATACAGAAATTATTTAAGTAAAATTGTATTATCTTTGCTGATGTTGCGTTCAATACTGCAGTGTATCTCAAGAAGCTTTCCTGTTGCTAAAGGTATTATGATGACAAGTGTGTCAGGATGATCAGGTTTAATATTAGTATCTTTGAAATAATAACATGATGTATCTTAGTTTTTAGATATATTTCCCTAAATAATTATCTAATGTATTGATACAAAGTAAAAAATAC